ATTTATGGTTCAGCTGAACCTGGATGCTGTTTAGAGGTACAAAGAAAATGGGTCTACACCCAAAGGGATTACCTTTGTTGAATTTCGTAGGCTTGATGTGAAAAATGGAGAGGTTAGAACGTCTCAAAGATGCAAGAAATGTAGGGGTTTAGTGTTAGGCCACTTAAACATAGATGGTACTCCCTCTGGTTCCCATTATTGTAGGATGCGACTGCCTCCCCATCTCTGAGGTGACAAATAGAGTATTACTGGCAGTGCTTCTTGGATCACTTGTACTTGAAGTAATGCAGCTACGCTCCAGAAGAGACTGTGAGTTTGAAGACAAAATTAAGAAGCCGGCCAGTACCACAGGACCAGGCATTAGATTGAAAGGCACCTGAGTTTCAAAGACCTAGCATAACAAAAATATTCTGGATTGGGTCCAGAAAAGGCCAGTATATAGCTAGGATTCAATGACAGGTGGATTCAGCCCTAAGCTACCCCTGCTGGCAGGACACCAACTAAAAAAGGGATCTGGAGAGCAATTAATACAGAGCCAAGAATGCTATCAGGCCTTGCACTGTTTAGAACCAAGATGTTGGCGACCTCTGTACAGCTTTTGTGTAATTGGGTAGATTTCTAGCTTTGCCAATTTAACAAAATCCAATTTTCTCACATAGAGCAGAAATACATATAAATCATCTCTTCAGCTTGGCTTCCTCACTCTTTTTCACACTTAAAGCATACACACAGTCCTAAAAACAGATTACAAACTAATCAGGCTATTTCTCCAACTAGCTGAGAAGGGAGCAGCAATAATCTCTTTTACCTTTAGGGGCAAATAATGAGAAGGAAGCCATAAGGGAATTTGCAACACACCTTTTGTAGACCATCCTATGAGCTTCCCTTCATAAATCTACTGGATACAAAAAATCATGGACTAAATATAGACATTGGATTATGACACGTTAACAACCTGCCTGACATCTGACACCCCAGATACCCTGCCTCCAGCTGACCATTTGCATTCCTCTACACATTTTCCTCCCTTCCTCCCACCCATCTCTACCCTTTGTCTTTCTAATTGCCACTCATTTGCATTTTCACAGACCTGCTTGTTGTAAATTTGCTTCTTTTCTACCTTTTTTACTCACAACACCAGCAGAGTCTCCCTATGCCTGACACACGGTGTTTGTGCCCAAAAGCTTGCAAAGAGCTTTTTTCCCCCCAACTTTTGAGTTGGCCTAATAAAAGATATCACATCTACCCAAAGAACCAAGAAAGCCATAAGGCACTTGGATGAAAAGGCAGTTTTTCTCATCTAAGGAGGAACGTGAATTGTGCTGGGTCGGGTCAGCTGGTCTGTTTTTTTTGTTGTTGCTGTTTGGGTTTTGCACCCTGTGTTAACTAACAACTGGTAACATCCTGGTGTGGTCAAGGCAGTTTCAGTTTTGACATGATACCAGGTGAAAACAACAAACGTCATGAGGAAATGGACGGTTTGCTTTGAACTACAAACATGCGTGAAATCTGCAATGATCTCTCCATTACAGGATGTTATCCTTTCCTTTCAGGATCACAAGAGTTAAACTCAGTTAAGCGGGGGTGTATCCACAACTGGTTCAGCTGTTGCAAAGTGCTCTCTGTGCACTTGCAGTCTGTACCTTGGATTCAGCTGCAAGGGCAAATGAGTGTTTCAACCCCCTGGAGTAGAGCCTCTTAGTTCAAGATTTTTTATCCTTTTTTATTTTTGATCAGGGGAAAATAAATACCCGAAGTAGCTCTCTGAGCGTCCTCAGAGAGAGCACAGAGTTAGGGTTTATCACTTGCTTGGTACTGAGTCCACAAAGAACAGATGGTGTGGTTGTTGCCATACTGCTGGAAGGGTTTAAGAACAGCCCCTGTGTCAATAGAGCTTCAGCATGCTAAGAGCAGCTCTTCACTGCCCAGAAGCTATTTGTCCACGTCTCATCTCATGTCACTTAATTTTCATCTGCAGCTAATCATTCCTGGCCTTATTTAAGGATTATTTATCTGAACTACATTTAATAGTGCACAGAAGCACTCTATACAGTAATTCAGGACAAGGAACAGAAGGGATTTTTCTATCCCCCAAGGACTGCGAGGGACTTTGGGAGGCATATACCTTTATGCTTTTTCATGTTATTATGTTTTAATTAAATCTACACTATTTATTGCAAACTACCCTGAAACACTGGCGGAAAGTGCTATGGAGATCAATATCCCTGTGTAATTTGGTAGCATTGATTAGCTTTTAATGAATTTTCAAAGTCAGAGAGGACATTCTGCATAGCTGCCACTGTGACATGCTGGGTCATTTTGAAATACATATTGTTCTGTAAACCTTAAATGGAAGATGAGAGGAGTTGGAGCTGGAGCATACTTTAGAACACACACAATCTTTTATGCAAATCTATTTTGCAAAAAAAAAGGGGGTGGGGTGTAGAAGAACTAGAGCAGCCTTCTGGTTAGGACTGAGCCTTCCCAGGGTTCTGGATAACGCTGAACTGTTTCCATCTGTATCGGTAGAACAAATGTGTATGCAATTGTCTAACATGAGAAGCAGACAGGGTTATTAGACATGCAGGCAAATACATAATCCAAACCCTCTATCCAAATTTCAGTGGAGCCCTCTGCTGGTTTGGGTTGGTCTGAAAAGGTTTGCTCTGTGAGCTTTGCGTCTGGAAGAGGAAAGTAAATTGCCCCATTTTGGCTTACGAGACACCAGAGAAACTATTGCCTTTGGTGCTACATTAGGATGGGATGAAGTGGCACATTTAATGTCTTAATTTACATCACAATTATTGCAGCTATAAAGCATATTACACTCTTTGCAAGAGTTCCAAATTCATTTTATGGAAGGAGCAAGTTATGTTAGTCATTTGGCTGTTTTGCACGCAATTAACTGATTTGTGCAACACCTAGTAATAGGTGTGCAAGTTAAGTTCCCAGTAAACTACCTCAGTCATTTAAATACTGCTTTTGAAGGAGGATGCAGAAGTTGTACCACAAGGTGATGACCAAGAAGAGTTTGCATCTCTTTGGCTGTTGTTCCAGGCTGTGTACAAATTCAAGAAGAGAGCTGTGCAACAGTTACACATGGGCTAAATATTTTTTAAAACTTTTTAGCGAGAGCTAGAAAATAGGCTTCTTTCAATGAAAGCTTATGTCCTGCAACATCTCAATCTGCTGTGCAGGCTGCCAAAGCAAAACAGACCACATTTGGTCATGGGCCAGGCTTGAATCTTCCATTTTAGAGCTTTTCCCATGTACTAAACTACTCAAAGTTTTGAAATGCCAGGTAAGTGGAATGTTGGCACATGCTATCTTAGCAGTTTAAAAAATAGATGCTTACTAGAAAGGAAGAAAATGGGTACAAATAGCAGCTATTGAGCATTTTAGGGTTTTTTTTGTGTCTGCCAGATTAAAGGGCCAGATAAAAAACAAACAAACCACACACACAAAAACACAGTATCTTGCTGACTGGGGACAGCCTTTCAATAAAAAAGCTGTTTGCACAGAGAAGAGAGGACTGTAGGAGAGGTTTCTTTGCACAGCCGCGTCATTTATTGTGTATCATCTGTGTCTGTTATAGACATGTCTGTATGTCTGTGTAGACATAGTTTTTACATTTGAGATGGTTACTGATAGTCTAAACTTCTGTAATATAGAAAAAGCACAGGCATTTCCTTACATCTTTTGTCATTTGTTATGCTCTATTTAAGCTGGTGTTCCAGGGTAAGTCCTAGTGGCAAGGTCTGCTGTTGTGGTTTAAAGAAGGTGGTTGCCTCTCCTGGCCTGTTGCAGGGAGTAACAAGGCCCTACAGGTAGCCTAGATACCACAGCAATGGTTGGGATTGCTTTTGCCCTGCACTTGACGTGACCCTCCTATCCCTCTGCACAGATATGCTAACGGCTTACAGAGTCACAGTCTCAGTGCTAACATGGTAGCTACACCAGGAAGAAAATCTTCCCAAGTCAGTCATCTGTAAGAGCCCTACATGAACTACCCTGCTATGCCTCAAAACACAAAGAAGTCATAACTGGGCTGAGGCGTTCAGTCTGCCCTCGGAGGGTAGTGGTGGCCCGGGCTCCCCGGACGGGGGAACCGTGGTCTGGGGACAAGGCCAAGAGCCACAAGAGGAAGCGAGTGCTCACACTCAGCAGAGGGGGCCGCATTGGCGGGCGGAACCAGGCGCGGCTGAGCGCAGTTTCCGGGGGCGCTTCCGGCGGGCGTTGCACCCGCGGGCGTTCCACCAATGGCGGCGCGCGGCCCGGCGGGGGAGCCAATCAGGCGCGGGCTGGGCGTGCGCTCACTGCCGGCG